AGTTGTAGAGCTAATCTCTCTTGAGAGAATTTAACTGAAACCAAGGCAGGGGGAGGGACAACTTTAAGGGGATTACAAACATATTTTGGACTTTTTCTAGCATACTATAAATGTCACTGAATATGTGAATGAAATAGAAAAAAAATCACATATGTTCAATTGTCTTTTTGTTTTATATTTTTTATTCACCACCACAGTTTAAAAAAAAATAACTTAATGTGGAACCATATGTTTCATATGGTTTAAACCATTGAAAATAGAACTTATATGATCACTTATTCAAATAACACTTATGTTGGGGTAAGTAAATTAACTGTATTGCAACAGGCTCATGTATTTTACTTGACCTTGACACATACTATGACTCTGAAAGTACCTAATGTAACTTAATGAAATTTAGCAAGCTTTTGGTAAATATTAAAATACTTTTCTTCCTCTGAAAAACTTTATATTTCATTTGTTATTTTTTATACTATAACTATACAAGGTCAGTTGATTTGACTGGCATCATAATCACTGAAAAATTAGGAAATAATTCCAAATTACCCTTTTTTTCTTTCTGGAATTACTGCAGCTTTTAACAGGAAACTACAATTGTTTATCTTAAATAGCTTCAAGCTTGTAATAATATACATCTATTTATACTAAATTTCATTGCCTTTTGAACTGTGTCTAACTAATAATCCTGCCACACAAGTTGTAAATCACTCAATGAATGTGTAGCTCATGTTACCCTATCGATTTATCTAACCCACTCGTGAGCATACTTGTGAAGAATTGTTATCATTATGATTATTCTTTATCTAACCTAGAAAGTTTTTAAGTTTCAGATTTTGATTATTTTTGTTAATAAATACAGAATACACATGAAAAACAAGAAATGTAGTACTTACCTGGTGTCTTTTTCTTTGCCGTCATTGAAACTTAAACTTACTTTCTTATAGAAATGGTACTGCCACACTAAATAGTCTTTTATTTAATTAAATACTCCCCCCTAAGAACATAGAATAGTAACATATAAAACACAGACAATGTCCTATAAGAGCCAATATAAATTCAGCCAGGTTCCTTGATGTTTTTTCCATGGGAATAAAGTTTGAACTGGAAGTGAAATTGACAATTCTCTGTACATAAAACAATGTAAAATCATACATCATTTGATGGAATAAACTTTGGCTTGCTGTTGGTTATAAATAATATAGTATTAAACATCAGTGAGAACTATTGGTAATTTGGGGTTTGATTTTGTAGTTTATAAGATTGTAGGCAATAAAAAGTATGCTTTGCCTGAGTAATAACTATAGTTGTCATTAAATAAGCTACATTAGCACTTGTTAGTTACTTTCTTTGCCATTTTTATTACTATTGTACCTTATAACTTACCTCTCTAAGTCTTATTATTATTAGTATTGAACTTTTGTGAGGCTTATTGTATGTAACTTTCAGCTTTTACAGGTGTTGAATTTTATCTGATGCCTCTCCATGTGTTTTAAGTGACATAGGTTAGTTAAAATGGGAGTAGTTGTATTAGACATACCTCATAGTATATTTAATATACTGTAATATTCAATAAAGGCCAAGTATTATAGTTATTTACTGTATGAATCAGGTATTTATTTAATTTCTTTTTTATTATCTTGTATTTTCATAAGGTTCTTCTACTTGACTCCACACCTAAACAGTAACAAGTTGTAGCAATTTGTCTGAATTGCCAGGTGTCATGCTCCTCTAAGTTATAAAATCTGAAATGTTTAAAGGGTTTTTGTTAGTCACAAGACATATTTTAGGGAGGTTGTGGAAAGTTCACCATATAAGTGGTTATACTGATACTCCATTATTCAACAAACTCAAAATCTACAACATTACTTGAGCCAACAGCTAGTGTTTGTGTGTTCCATAAGTAAGATAAACTCTCATTTCTTTATTGTTACTTTCATTAATGGTATTGGTTAGAATGTTCAGCATGTCTAATTTTATTACTTTTAGTTTTATAATTTTACTTTTATTATAGAGGTTGCTTTCATTGTTAGTTTAATACATGTATTTATGACTAACCTAAATCTCCTAAGCTGGCTGAATCTTGTGAGATATTATTGGGACTATGGTCAAAAATATTGTTGATAGCAAGGGTACTCAACTGATGAAACTGTGTTCAAATTAAGAAAAATATATTCAATTAACTATACTCATTACCAGGTTGTGTTTTAGTTTTGCTCTCAGCTAGTAGTTTGCTTTGATCAGAAGTTAATATTCATTCTGCTCTGTTTTCAACCCCTTAAATTATATGTGCACAGTTGACTTGTAAATATACAATAGTTACATGATTGTATGATGTTTTTTCTGTTTTTATTATTTATCACTGCATTATTTTTGTTTCATATATAGGTTGCACTTGTTTTAGGAAGGCCCACATTAAAAAAGCTAGTAAAGTTTGTTTTTACTTTCATGTTCTTTAATTTTTTGTTTTACTTTCTCTCTTTGAAGCTTATTGAAACATTTTTGTACGAGTTAGTTTTGTGACTTTCTAGTTTCTTTTTTGTTTTACTTTTATAAAAGCTTATTCATGATGCACATATTAGCACTGCACAGAGTATATCTGGGCAGTTAGTGGAATTTGATAATTGTCTAATCATCAGGCTCATTAATCATTTACATCCACGTAGTGAATTATTCAAACAGTAGTAATCAGAAACTCTAATTTTGATTAGCTTATTATTTTCTTGTCATTAATGAATTTTATCAAAATTTTGATTAATTGATCATTTTATGTGACAGTATTTGATGTGATCAGTTCTTACAGGTAGTTGAGTTAATTTACCATATCTAGCACAAAATGCTCTTAATTTTACTTAATCATTGAAAATTATGTTTTAAAGAAAATTTAATTTCATAACTATAAATTGTCTTTTAAGTTAACTCTAAAATAACCAATGGGTCCGTATGCTTTCCATTAGTTTTAAATACATTAGAAATGAGTGATTTTACCCAGGACTCATTAGTTCTTTATATTGAGTGTCGTAACAGGTAAAAACCTGAAGTTATCAATATGATGCAATATATGGAAACCAATGGTAGGGAGTGGTATTTAAACAAGTTGGTAATTTGAGGTTAAGATGAAATTTCTATTGTAATTTTTTTTCAATGCAGTTTTCCTTGTATTGATATTGTATGATAGCTCTACAAGCACAGATTCTATTATTTTCAGTAATATGTATGACAGTCAATGTAAAAGCTAGTCTAATAAATATATTTTCCTGTTTAAATCTTATTTTCTCTTGAATGTAATGGTTGCATCTGTAGAACATAAAGCAAGATTGAAAAATACATTTTAACTTAGATGCCATGTTGAAATCATTATCATAACAGTGAACTTCTCTTTTCTGTTCTCATTTTGAACTTTTGGTTTTTAGATTAATTTATAAGATATACTTAACGTGTTCTGTTTCTCAGAATTTCTAATAATTTATAGTCTTGAAGTAGGTTTTTATCTATCACACGGTAACAAAAATGTAATAAAATAGAGGCTTGAGTGCATTTGAAAAGTAAATTATTGCTCACTGGAAAGAAAAAGAGTTTGCTCCTGATTAAGAAGAGGTCACACTTCAATAGTTTTCAAACTTATGGATAAATATTTTTTCAACTTTTATAATCATTATTAAGCTATTCACTTTACTGTCTTATTTAAAAATGATATTACTGTGGAGCATATTATTATTATATAAGGTTTAGAAATTATAATATCTAGTTATATTTTTATTACATGATTTTTTTTTTACTGTAAATAAGTTATGCATCTCATTAAATCTCAACAAGTAGACCTTTTAAAATTCTCATTTGTTGAACTTATAATTGAAAGATGTACAAAATCAATAATATCAATATAAGCTTTTTTTGTCATTATGATAACTAATATCAGAGTTTATGTTTAATTCCTAGTTTTTGTAATTCAAAATTTAAGGACCAGTTGCACCTCGAAGACGAAGCCGACCAAGTCCAAAGTATCCATCAACAACTTTAGTAGCTCACCAGTCATGGAGTCACATTCCAGGGTTACATGACTTTGCTCATTCAGGTAGTCTTCCAGATTTAAACAGGCCCAGTCCTTGGACTGATGGAGATTGGACAACTTTAGAAAGATCACCCAAGAGACAGTCTAGAGACCAAAGGGGTAAGTTGAAATATGTAGATTATTGTACTCCAGCCTCTTTACTTTAAGACAATGCATTGATATTCGGTTGATTATTAAGTCTAATTGTTGATAATTTCAATTTACAAATACAAAATAAAAAGCCAGCTTATTGATATTTTTAGTGTGTGAGTAGAGAAGTAAAAAAAAAATTAAATATTGGTGAGCTGGTCATGATATACATAGTTATTTGTTCTTCAATTAAAAAAAAAACCTTTTGAAACCAGTTCATTAACCCATTCACTAAATGTAGGTTAAAGTGTGCAGAGTTACATTTAAAATTTAATTTAACTACTTTATTATCAATATATATATATGAATAAACTTGATATCAAAATGTAATTAACTCTCTCACTATGGGCTTGATCTCAAGGACTAACCTCATAACCATTTTGTGCTTGTTATAGTTTTCATACTGTAACTTTAATATAGTATGCATATCTTCACAAAATTTTGTAGATTATCAGTAAACATTGTTACAAGGCTTTCATTTACAAAATATTTTTTATTGCATTTTAAGTAACAATTTGCTTGGGCATTTTTTCTTTTCTAATGTAGACTATCCAACATGCAAAATAATTTTGATTTTAAGATTAAAAATACTTTTATGCATCAGAAAATTGTAATCTTTGTAATATGTTATCTTTTATTTTCACTATTATATCTCTGTATGGGTTTGGTCGATTTGACTGACCTTGTAACCACCATAAAAAATTAAGATATAAATTATGTTTTTTTCATTCAAACTGACTACAAATTATGACACAAAACTACAAATGAGCTTAAATCTCATAACATTACACATCTATATATACTTATTATTTTTATTATATTGACCTTTCAGCAGTGTGTGACTAACATTATAGAACTTGCAATGATGCGGCACACATGCACTCATGTTACGATATCCAGTGGTATAAAACTGGGCGTTACAAAGAGACCTGTCTTGGCTTTGTTCTAATGGACCAGTATTTTGTAAAATACAGTCACATTTCATTATAATATGTTACATATGTATATATAGTATTATTACTTACAAACAAGTTCATAAATTTCAGTTATTATTCTTAAAACAGTAAATAAAGAAATATAGAAAACAATGATCTCTACTACTTACAATTGTAAAGAAGTTTTGACAAGCTTGCCATACCTTGCATGCTAAGCCTTACCGAATTTCACACGTGGAGGATGTAAAACCAAGAGGCCAAATGAAAGTACAATATTTCTTGTTTTTATGTATATTTTTTATTTATTGTTGTCAAAGTAACAAAAATGCAAAAATTAGATTAGGTAATATAATGAAAAAATAATAATAATAATAATATTTCTCCTTGAGGTATGCTCATGAGTAGTTCATGTGTTCCATCATTCAATATCATAACTTGAGCGACACATTTGCTGAATGATTTACAGCTTAGAGGTTAAGAAAGTGAAATCTGAAAACAGTAAGATGAGTAAAAGTGTTTTAATTTGAACATGAAAATCACCTTGCACTCGGAGTAATCAACACTCGTGAGTTCATATATTCATGAACAAATTTTTAATAAAAATATTTAGTTAAAAAATCAGCTTTTTTTGTGTATAAAAAGGACTTGTAATGTGTACTAAAAGCTTGCCTAATTTTGTAAAGGTACACATACAACCTTAAATGTCATAATATAGATACTTTCATATTTTACCTGGTTGTTACAAGGTTTTTGTCAAAATAACCAAGCCCATATGGAAAGAGTTAATGCAAGTAGCATATCAAATGTTCGTAATAAATTGCTGTGCCTAGGCTGTGCATCTGAAAGTTTATGTCTGTAACTGAAAAAAAATATTTTACCTGGGTGTTACAAGGTTTTTATCAAAATGACTTAGCCCATATTGAAAGAGTTGATGCAGAAAGCGTATCAAATGTTCATAATAAATTGCTATGCCTAGGCTATGAATCTGAAATATTGTTTCTATCACTGCAAAAAATGCACTCTATACTTTGGGATTATGAGTGTACTATAACAGTGATGGTCAAATCTCACTATTTGATCAGACATGAATAGCCCAAGAGTTGACAGTGCTGTTGATCAGCTTTCCCCTAATCTGTCAGTTCTGTGTAGGTAGCTTTGTGAAAAAATGGTACAAAATACAAATATGTGCCATACGGTATTTAAAATATTTATGAAGTAGACAGATGCAAGTATGCATTAATTTATGGTTCTGTCATCTTTTTATCTTGTCATTGCTGTTGTAAACTTGGTTCTTTAAAAATATTCTTTTAAATTTAGATCACAATTTTATTTGATTATGTAAATAAGCATAGTTTAAGTATCAAATTTAGTAACCATATTATATTTCATATAGACTCATTAACTGCTCATGAACATCAGTCTAATAAAATGTGTATGTGTTATTTTTTGTCAAAGAACATTAAAATCCTATTTATTATATAGTTTATAGTAAAAAATTAACCTGTCTGTGATGAACTGGATAAACTTTATACTGAGTCTCTCAAAGAATTAAAACCAATCCTTTTTTTTATTCTGGACCTTATTCATATCTGACATTTACCTGACCCTCATATTATTGTGTAATAAGAACTGTGTTTATTGAAAGGAAAAGGAAAATTGTAATAAGTATGTGTTGATTCGTAAAAACTTGCATTGAATAATCTGTTGTTTTTTTTGTTGTTGTTTTTTATACAAAGCCATAAACTGCTTACATCTTCTTACAATAAAAGAAATACTTTAGCTGATTTGCTTAGCATGACATTTTTAACTTCTCACACTCCCATATTAAGTAGGTCAACAAATAATATTTAAAACTATTATATATATATTACAATTGGGAAATAAAGTGATAGTTTAATTAGTTTCAGCAACAATTCTACCTTCTACTCTTCACCGCACACAGTCGGCTGATTTTCAAGCTAAACAGAGACTTGACAGAAAAGGCTTACAGTATAATGCTGTGGAGAAAGCAATTGGAGGTAGAAGGTATTGTAAGATAGAAAATTCTATTTTTTTATGATTATGGTTCTGTTTATCTGTGAATTTGTATTTTGAGTAAATACATGTGATGATCAAACTGACACCAGCTATCCTAGTGGTGATGTACAGATAATATTAATATAGCAGAAGAATATGTAAATTTATACAATCACATGAGGTTATAAGGTTATACTCTTGTGACCTTCTCTATGAATAAATACCCTGCCAGAAGCTTCACTAAGAAAGAGAGTCACTAGATAGTTATTGAAGGATATAGTTATTGTTATTTGTCACTCAGTATTGTTTTGATATTAAAATGTATTGTTGCAATATTGTATTTGCTGTTGTGTTTTTTTTCTGGTCCTTTTTCCTAATTCCATTATTGATTTATTAATATTTATGATAAGTTGTTTATTAATATTGGTGTGAAGTTCTGACCAGACACATGTTTATTTGTGTTAAGTTAGCTAGTGTTTGAAAATAACTGTGTTACTATTGTGTGTCTGATGTGTCAAGCTTGAAATAGTCTTTCTGGTTCTTTTCCTTTTCTGTGCAGTATTTCAAATCTTAAGTCTTGTCATTTTAGTGACCAATGCATCAGTCTACCAGTTAACTTTGGAGTTGTCTGTAACCATTTCAAGGCAGCGTGGTCAGTTATAACTGTAAATTCTTCTCCATCTTGGTATATCCTAAAGTTTTCTATAGCCCAAACTACAGCTAGACATTCTTACACTATAGTAGTATACTTTCTTTCTGCAGAGTTCAGTGTTCTACTGGCATATGCTATGACACCCTTCTGTCACATAACTGCTCCTATTCCAACATTTCTAGCATCAGTATGCAAAAAAATATTGTTTAACTTTAATTTTTGGAATGCATCCACACATTGGTGGGTCCATTTCCATCTGATACACTTCCTTCATAACTGATGTAAAGGTTCAGTAACTGTAGCAAAGTTTGGAATGAACTGATTCTACCAGGCACACATACCCAAGAATGTGCTTAAATCTTTGCAGTTGCTTCGAGTTGGGAAAATCTGTAACAGCTTTCACTTTGTCTTCATTTGTGTGTATTCCCTCAGAAGAGAGTTTAAATCCTAAATATCATGCTTCTGATTGGTAAAATGTGCTTTTAGAAACTTATACAGTAAGATTAGTTGTATGTAGCTTGTAGAAAACCAATTCAAGGTCTTTCAAGTGTTGTACAAATATGGGTGGAAACACTATAATATCATCAGTATAAACCTTGGAACATTCAGTTTCTCCTGCTAAAGCCTTATCCATAGATCTTTGGAAGGTGACGGGTGCATTTTAAAGACCAAAAGGTATCACTTTAAATTGAATGAGTCTGTTATCTGTTATGAAGGCAGTTTTATGTCAATCATCCATCTTAACAGGTATTTGCCAATATCTACTGGATAAGTCTGATGTACTGATACAGGTTTCCCCTGTCAAAGTATTCAAAATATCACTTATATGAAGCAATGGATAGTGGTCAGAACCAAAAATCATTAGTCATCTTGATAATAACTACTGGAGAAGCCCAAGAAATGGAGAGTTCAATTAACCCATCATGTACAGATACTATTAACGTAGCAGAAGAGTATGTAAATTATGATCACATGAGGTTGTTCTTTTGTGACCTACTCCATGGGTAAATACCCTGCCAGAAGCTTCACTAAGAGAGAGAGAGAGAGAGATAGTCACGAAATAGTTATTGCTCTTTGACACTTGATATTGTTGGAATATTGTATTTATTTGCAGTATTTTGTTTTGGAATTAGGTCTTTTCTTTCTGGTTCTTTTTCCTGATTCCATTATTATTGATTTAATGATATTTATAATGAATTGTTTGTTAATATTGCTTTGAAGTCCTAGCCAGGCACTTGTATATTAACTGTGGTTTGATAAGTTTGAATTTATTTCTAAGTGTTGTTATTGTGAAAAATTATTTTTGTTGTTGAACCCTGATTGTAGTGGCATGTTCATTTTAGATCTTTACAATATGTACTGTTACATCTCGGTCAAGGTTTTGTTTATGTGATAAGTTAAGTTGGTCATTTGAAGTTGATTAATCATCTTTGATGCAATTTGTGTTTCAGCTCTTTTTTCTGTTATATATTCATTGCTATTTTTGTGTCTTGCTTCAAGGTGTTAAGTAATTTCAAATTTAGTTTTAAGTCTTATGAGGAGAAAAGTTTTGATTAGTTTTCTGTACATTTTAAAATAGCTTTACACTAGAGTGCTGCTTGTGTGTTTGTTGGTTTAGATTTGTTTTTTGAATGTTATTTCCATGTTTATGGATTCACTTTCTTTATATTTTATACATTCATACATGTATAAAAAAATTATTAAACAAGTGAATCACATATTGTCATTCAAGACCATAATGCATTCTATGAGACTTAAAGAATTTAGAGAAGCTAGTTTGTTCCATTAAGAACTTTGCTGTTATTTTAACTTTTGTATCTCACATCAATCATTGTGATCTGCAGTATTGACTTCATAAGCCCAATTTTTTCAGTTTGCAGAAAATTTACATAGAGTAAGTGAAAAAATACTTTGTTTGATTTTGAACAGCTTTATTAACAAATTCAAAAGATTTGATTGATCTTATTAGTTGTGGCTTGAATCTGCTAATCAACAGGCAATCTTTCATAAGAAGCAGCTATGTCAAGTAGAGTTGGACAGTTAACTTGATTAATCAGTATGATTGATTACATTGATTAGTGTCATATAAAATAATCAATTAATCAAAATTATGGTTAAATTGATTAATAGCACATAAAATAATCAACTGATCAAAATCAGTGTTTCTGATTATTACTGTTTTTGATTATTCCAACTGCTCAAGTAATTGAAATATTGTCATTTGGATTTCTCATTATTATTTCTGATTAATTCAAGGTTGTTCAGTTTAATTGAAGAGTGTCATAATTCACAAAAATAATCAACTAATCAAAATTATTGTTTCAAATTATTATTATTTTTGATTAATCCAATGATCAATGTCTCTTATGAGAATAATTTATTAGTTGAATGTAATTTTTTTATAAGTCCAACTATTAATTAATTATTAAATTTCACTAAATACCCAGTTATAATCTCAGGTTCACCCCTAACCCTAATGGAGATCTAAGCTCATATCAAACATCATACAAATATTTTAGCATAAGCAATGTTAAGTGCATTGAAACTTGCTCTTGGTGAACATAATGTAATTATTCAATCTTGGCTAATGTTTAATGCAACCTCTTTATTAACAGACTAAATCAACACTGTAATTGTACCTAGTTTATTATAGATTTATATTAAAATCTCTTCTTTCTTTTGCTTAATTTCTCTTCTAAGAAACATTCACTAGTTAGAATACTGGTAAAATTTGCATGAAATTATATCCAGAAACATGGGAAATTTAGTAAGATTATTTTGCTTGAATTAACACTTTTTTAGTGTAACAGATTACAGTGGTTAATGTGTTTTTTTATATTTGGAGATGTTTTTATCTTCTAAACTTGAATCTTTTAATGATCAAAGTGTCCTGACTTCTTTTTTTTCTCGTTAAGTAAAATTTTTGTTGCCAACTAACAAATATTTTCACTCTACTAGTGCTTTCCTGTAGCAGAGTGAACTCCTATAATGTTTATTAAGTAAAATCTTCAAAGCTGCTTTGTTATGAAAAGTTTAATGAATCTAAATGAACATTAACTTCTAATTGAGTTTTGGTTTTTATGCCCCCACTACGAAATAGAACAGGGCATATTGGCTTGCCCCTTTCTATCTGTCTGTTCTGACATTGTGGACAGGATATCTCATAATTAAATGGATAGATTTTGGCCAAACTTATACAATGTGTACTATGTACAAAGTTACCCTTAGTTCTTCTTCTTTGAAAGGAACTTTGTTTTCTTTACTATTTTGTATAGTTAAACAAATTTTATAATCTGCTATTATTTAACACAGTTTCATTAAGCTAACTTTACTCCCTTTTTTGTTTCATTTTCTAGTATTCTTATTTTACACCTTTAATATTTTTGGAGTGTGTGCTCTTAATATATTTATTATATCAGTAACAACTTAGTGTTATAAAGAGAATCTTTTTCTTTCAGATGTCCTTCAGATGAAGAAGATGACTTAGAAGGATACTATGAGAAAAAACCACTTGGGCATAAGAAAGGAGGAATTGGAGAAGAGCAAAAAGGCTATGAAAGAGTTAGTTGTACACCTAGTAGTGAACCAGAGCTGAGAAAATCCATCGAGTTAGATAAAAACTACCCTCAGAAGAAGTACAGTCCAAATAATAGTGACTTTTATTACAAACAACACACTCCATATAAAATGAGCATTAATAAACCCCAAGGTAACAGAGAAAACATTGGACTAAGAGATTATTATAACCAGCTAGCTTCTGAGGCAGAATTAGAAGAGTTAGGTGAGGCAGATGGAAATATAGATCATGGTATTAATAGGTTATCTGATCAGAAAGACCATTATAGTGACATGACTGATGTTCACAAGGACAATATACAAACTACTAGTTTTGCACAGTTGTCCAAGTTGAAGGAGAACCAGAGGAATCCGGTCAATATTGTATACATGCAACAAGAAGGTGATAGTAGAGGAATGGTTGGAAGTAAAAACCTAGGAAAGAGTAGCCTGAATAACATGAAAGATAATCCTCTTGAAGAAGAAGAAAAAGTAACTACTTCATTTGCTCCAGCCAATGCAGTTAAAACCACTTGGCTGCAACAGTGCCAACAACCCATTCGTGGAAATGTTTCCCCACAAGGTGAGTCTGATGGAACTACTCCCATTAATGGCTCAGAAAATGCTTTAGCTTCTCAGTTGTTAAACATTCGCTTGGCTCTTGAAGAGAGGAGGAGAAAAATTGAACAAGATAAGAAACATATGGAAGCTCTGTGGAAGAGACATAGACAGAAATTAGGTAAAGCTGCATTTCTACAAGCAGTCTCCAAAGGTGTTGCTGGTAGTCCTGATAGTGGCACTGGAAAAGAAGAGGCTGTTGTGGAAACACCTTCTTCAACAGGAGACACAAAAGTGGAGGTTTCAAGAGGTATAAGCAGGCAGTTATCTGCACAAGAGCTGGAAGAGGACTTAGAATCTGTGAAGGAAAAGTGGTTGAATCAAAATGGAACACAGCTCGAAACTACAGAAGTTGCAGATGAAGAAAATTTAAACCCTGAAATTTTCCAAAAGTCAATAGAACAGATTAATAACAGCTTGACAGAATTGCAGGCAGACATTACAAGGTTATCACAACAACAAAATATAATTCAGCAGTCAGATAAAAAAAAGATCGTACCTGCACCTGGAATAGAACCTTTCTCTATTCATGGCCAAGAGCCATTTCAACAATCTCAGCAAAAAGTACAACCTGTCCTACTTCAACAACAATTCCAAAAGCCTGATCAAGTACAGACACAATTCCAACATCCCCAGGAAAGATTACATGGCCATCCAACACAACAAGACTTCTACAACTACTCACAA